TTGGGACAATTGTCGATGGTGTTGTTTGCACTGTATCAATTTCCATTGAAGAATTAATTACATGTGAATTTATATGTAGTACATTTCGAATTGACTATCACGTGATATTAAATAGTGAAACAGTAAACAGCAGAAAAAATTTTGCAACTCTCTTTGTATTCGTAGACGTAAATTTTCGTTTATTCATCAAGCAAAACTTCCAAGCTTGTTCACGGAACTAGTAGAAAAAGATGTCACAACAGAATGATCAACAAAATCTATCACCAAATTCTAATATGTCTAATTCGCAATCAACAACTAATGCAAATAATAATACAACGAGCGATCAATTTTCAAATCTTCAAAAGAGTTCACAACAAACACAGCAGACTACTGTACAAAACCAACAGGTAAGTCCGTTTCTGAATTTAACTAAAACTGGTTTGACAACAAAGATTAGTAGTTTTGCAGCTACAAGGTTCACAAAAAAAAAAAACAAAAAATCAATCTTTTGTACAGTCATCACCGCAACAATCACAATCATCACAAACTGCCACAACTCCTCAACTACAGCCAGCTACAAGTCAGCCATCACAAGTTGCAGTAACTGTAGCAGCACGGCCTGCAACTGTACCTCCAAAGGGTGGGAACACAAAGAAAAAAAGTGGTGGAAACAAAAAGGCGGGCGGGTCACGTCCTAAATCCGTAACAGCAGAGAAAAATGATGATTCAATATTGCCTCAGGCTTTGAGCCAAATGGCAACCGATTATTATAACCAGGCTGTTCATCTTGGGCAAGACACGCCAGAAGGTCAGAGGTGTTACAAAAATTATTTGGATACGATGCAAGCTTTGGAACAGCATCAGCGAAACAATCAACATGCTAGTCTTTCGTTTGTTCCTCCAGTGAACCAAATTACATCACCGGCAACTACTCCTTCTCCTAACCAAATGTCTCGTATGATTCCTACCACTATGACATCCGTACCTTCTCCATTATCATCGCAACCTCAGACAATGCATAATCACCAAAATAGTCCACAAATGGTTGCAAGGCCGCAGCAACATATGGTTGGACGAGGGCCGCAAGTTGAATACAATAATTTAAATTATCAGCAGTTAACAGGTGAAATTAATAGAATTCAAAGTCTTCTGTCACAAATAATTTGAATAATGCTAAAAAGCAGGACTATTTAAATCGAACCAGTGTTTTAAATTTTGCCTAATATAGCTTCAAGAGTAACCAATTCTACGAGCGGATCTTCACAAGCAACGTACAATACGACAAGACCTTATTTAAGACCATCGATGATGCCTCCAGTACCTGATTCGTCTTCACGAATGATGATCAATACACATGGGCATTCAGGGGTGACAGGGTCTCCAACAGGTTTAATGATGATATTTAAATTTTTATTTATATAATGGATGCTTACATATTTAAAGTTACCACAAATTTCTGATAAAAACGCTGATTATGGTCGAATAACATTACAGCTCAACCTATTCAATCACCAATTATACCTTCTTCGCCACTTGCAAATAACATTACGGAAGGATCAATGATTACTGTGCAACAACAACAAGCAATGCATCAAATGCTGCAATCACCAAGGTTACAGCAACAGACTCAATCACCGGGATCACAACTACCACCCCAATCTCCACGATCACACCAAGTACAGTCTCTACCACAATCACCCCGATCTCATCAGTTACAACCTTTATCTCAATCACCCCAATTACAACATCCATCTCAATCACCTCAATCACAACCGCCACATATAAATTCACATGTAATTAATTCTTCAATGGAAATTGATACAGTGCAAACAACACCATCGACAATTGTCCCAA